GCCTATCACATCATTTGATGTTGATGCACTATATTTTATATTTATATTTACTATAATTTCATTATGTATTTATATATTTAACTATTATTAATATATCACTATAATTTGTTTATATTTTCAAAAATTGGCATCATGAAAGCTTGGAAATTTTTATTGTGAAAAGATCTTGTTTTATATTTATTTAATTTATTAATTTAATTCAAAAAAATTCCTAATATCTGCGTTATCTCACCAGTGTTTTCGGCATCTTTTAGAGCAGATTTCATGGCTTTTTTGACTCCGGTCGTCACATCATTTGTTGTATGTTCCTTTGCTGATCCCAGTATGCGGTCACCGTACAAGACGACAGCATCTGTATTAGTTCCTCCAACGTCTACTCCAATGACACACTTATCAAAGTCTAGCCCACTCATTCTGTCAATTCTACATTATAATCAACAAAATTATGGCTTTTGTTACTTACATAATTTATTATGAGCAACCTTAAAGATTCTCTTTTCAGACCAAGCAAAAAAAAAAAAAATAAGTACACTGTTGTAGAATGGTATCTACCATGAGATTAACTGATTACCTCTGTAAAGAGGTCAAGGGACAATGGCTTACATTTGCACCATGAGTTATTCATTTAAACTCCATGCTTGTAATGTGTGTGCAGTGCTACAGCTCAGAGATTTGAGAACAGGTTGTAAAAATCACTGAAATTCAATGTAAAACAAATCTAATTACAGTAGTATATAAAGGTGAGCATGGGTAGCAAGGCTTCCAAAATCCCCCAAAAAAAATTGTGAACCCCCCCCCCCCACCACACCCAGGTGTCTACCCACTGGAAAAACCTGGTGAGAAGAAAATTCATTCTATTACCTGCTTCACCAAGGACTCCCAGCAAACAATTGTTTTGTTGCCTCAAGTAAATTTATAGCATAATCAAACAAAATGTTCATATATCAGTACTGAACTGTACAGTCATGCTTTTATAGTCAGCCTCCTTGATTTTTTTTAAAATAATTGTACTTACTTATTCATGCCAAGTTCAATTGTCCTGATAAGGTGCTCAGCTATTTGCACAACTTTACAAAATGAGCTGATATGTTATCCATTGCACACCTCACTACAGTGATTATGAGGCTCAAAATTTAAGTAGGGTATGTAATATCTACTGAGCAAACAGCCAAATAACAGGAAGCTAGGTACTTACCTCTTAAGCAGCAAATCAAAAGCTAAGTTCCACTTGACCCACAAGGCCCTTACCTAGGCCACTGGATTTACTGTCTTTTGCAATACGGCAGTGTCAATAATACTGAGAACTTTAATTTATTTTCATAATATCATTTTAAGTAGGCAACTAGGAACACATTGACACCAGCTAATGTACCATACCAATATTATCCAAATTTCCTGGTTGCACTTTAAACATGCTTCACTAAATTCTTGGGACGGTTTCTTTATTCTGATATTAGGCCAAGAAATAAAAAAAAGTAGTTTCTCGTCCTAATATTTTGAAAACAGTAGAATGAGGGCACTTTTTTTTTTCTCTGAGATGGCAGATCTTAGATGGTCGATGGGAAACAGCTACTATTTTCTCACTCTTAACAAGTAGACACATTGAAAGCAAATAAGAGAAGCACTAGACATGATTCATACCATATGTATCCCCAACCATGAACCATCGATAGAGAGGAATTTTACTAATGCATGTTAGCCACATTTTCATGCATTTCGTAAAATAAAGGAAATTTAAAAAGAAAACATATTTAGTGAGGCAGAGAAAATGGATGCGCGAACTTAAGGGATGAGAAACTATTTTTTTTTTTTTTGCCTATTTGGTGCTGGTGAAGGGTGAGCCAGCAGATTAAAGGTGTGGGAATGCTCCCCCTCCCCCTCCCCCACATTGTGAGGGAGAAAAACAAAAAATTACCAGGGAGAAAAAAAATTGTTATACTTTAAAATTGCTTAAAGCTTTGAAATCCCTAAATTATCAGTTTCTGGAGCTTTGCTCCGTAGACCCCTTTCCGAGATGTTTTAAGCAACGCCAGACCACGCCCACTTATGCTCTCATTTGTAGAATCGGTCCTCTTGTCAAACGTTGGGCAAGTCATGCTGCCACCACTGTTTTTTTTTGTTTTTTTTTTAAGTTAAATATTCAAGTTTATAGTGTATTTGATAATGGTGACCGCATATCTTGGATATAAGTGGACTTGTTTCTAAAATGTTTTAAACAATACTGGTAAGTGGACTTGTTTAGATTCTAAAACCATAGAGAAAGAATTATTAGATGCTAAAACTAATTAAAATAGATGTGTATCCAAAGGAATGTTAACATAATGAGATGTTTGCAAACTTTAATGACACTATAAATAGATTTGTATCCAATATTAATGTTACTATAAATAGATTTGTATCCAATATTAATGTTGCTATAAATAGATTTGTTTCCAAATCAAATGACACTATATAAATAGATTCCAATTAAAAGACAAGTATTAACAGATAGTATACATCCTTCATATTGAATAACATGATTAATTAATTGAAACACAAGCTTTCATGAACTAGCTTTAGTGAATAATTAGACTATATCCAAAATGAATGTTATTTGTATCCCAGATATTATTGTTGCTATAAATAGATTGTATCCAAAATGAATGTTACTATAAATAGATTTGTATCCAGATATTAAAGTTACAGTATAATAAAAAGATTGTGTCCAAAACGAATGTTACTCTATAGACTTTTAATAAAAACTATAATAGCTGCTATTAATTTATCTCTTAAATATTATTATTGTAGCAAGACATGTTAATTAGAAAGATAGTAAAATTTGGACAAACAAGTTTGAATCTGGAATTCTAGGTCAGTGCCAATTCAAATGTCTAGGGACTTCCCCTTCCTCTTGAAGTTTAATAACACATTGCTTTATCATATCTAATTTTACTGTAATGTTTAATTCATTACTGTAATCAATATTTTTTCATAACCATATCTATATTATGAGGAACAATGGTATCATGTTTACACACTTAATCAAATATTAATCAAGTAGTGATACATGACAAAAGGGATCACGTTTGATACTTAATATTTGATTAGAGCATGATGACTTTACATCAATGATCTTTTTGTAATGCAAATAAACTCATCGTGTTTCTTAAATTGATTTTGCATCTGTTGCCAAGTTATTAATGCATAATTGAAAGCAATATACACTTGAGAAATTATAAATAAATTCGCAGTGACAAAAATTTTTGTTCAAAATAATCAGTTAAATTTGTTACAGAAAAGAGTATGTTTTGAACTCTTATGAATTATGTTAAAAATTATGGATGAAAATTTGTGTTCCTAATAATGTGGTTAATGCACATATGGTTTTTACCATCTTAGAACCCTCCCTCAATCTTTACCCCTACCGGTGTTTAGACCCTAACCCCAAAAATTTGACAGCCCCCTCATTCACCACTGATCATGAAAAAAACTGACAAAACAGAAACTTCTTTACATCGACACATCCATCTGTATGTAGTGAATAACGGTTTTGGTCATGAATAACTTCGACTGAATGAAAACCTCCCCTTTAACACAAGAAATGAATGAAAAAGAGTCTTCATATTTGCATATATTGGAAACAGAGCCAATGTTTATTACACATTGTGATAAATCTATTCAAGGTAATGTACAAGGATAATCTTCAAAGCTTAGATAAAGAAATCTAAAAACGCTTAGGTTTAACAGATCACCTGACATCAACTTTATTCTTATATATTGCACTTGGTAATAAGTATACACAAATTGAACACTGAAAAAAAAAATATCCTTGAAAAAAAAATCCCTTGTAATACTTTAATATTATATTAAAATGCATAAACGCATTCAATCATAATAAATATGAAACAAAAATATGAAACTCAATACAAAAATTAATTTGTCAAAAGCCATATACATAAAATTAACAGGACAAAAAAAATTGAAACAGGAGATAAAAAAGAACCCTCATGAAGAAGTAAGGGACTTTTTACAAAATAGAGAGGGGACTAAGCAAAACGTATACAGTACAATAAACTTATTGAGTGTATATCTATGAAATATGCGGTGGTAATGCCATGTAGTTAAATGATAGTAATATGTACAGAGTATTCTAACCGAGGGGCAGACGTTCCAACCCCTGGAACTCAAAATTTGACAGACGGAAGGTGCGATAGTGCGCCCCCATCTCCAAAACCTTTCATGATGCATTCAGACTTTGAGATGTGAGTAACACCCAGAAAGCCTTTGTACGTACATCATTGACAAATCAGCATACACAGAAAATATTAACACAGAAATGCTTAATAATTTGGTACAAAAATACCCAACTAATCTAATAGTCATTATTAGTATTTTCGTGTTCTTATTCGATAGTGCCATGAAAATTCGGGAGACTACTGATCGAATTTTGGAAGGAGCAATCTATTTCAAAATGTATTTTTTCCAGTAAAGCATAACTTAAGTACCATTATAAGAATGACGTTTTAGAATATTAATGATTTCAATAAGCACTATATATTATAATTTAAAGTGTTTACATTTTCTTGCATTTACGAAACGAAGCATATTAACAATAAAAGGATACTCCATTAATGAAAATAAATATGATCATGTAAATCACAAGGGATCAATAACGGTACTCATGTTTATTGATATTCAAAAATAACAAAGAGGACACATTGCCACGGTAACAGAAGAAGCCAAAGGAAGTGACAAGGAGGTAATACTAACCAATGATGTAGGAAGGTGTTTATCAAGATTTATCAGGCAACTGTAAATAACAGACCTTGTACATGTGGGAGTTAAGTACCTTTATCGGTAAAAAAAAAACAAAAAACAAAATCAAGTACAAAATATAATGGTCGTCTAAAGATGTGGAGTACTATATAATTAATTTTGACATCTATTACTCCAACGCTAATTGGACCATACCTATTAATATCCAATCTCTTATATTATTATTAATTAATAATTATTATTGTTCTATTTAGCAAATTAAGATGAAGTGTACAGTAATTAGACATTCAGTTAAATATGAAGTTTGGCATTGCTGAACAAAAAAACATTGTCATGGATATATTTAAAGGCAGTCTCTTCAGGAAAAACAATTTTTTGATATAATATTGAATTTCACTCATGTTAAGCTAAGAAAATAAGAGTTATTTCTCACCAGTAGTTTTGCAGCATGCAGTAGCTTTCAATAGTGAGAAATAAATCTTATTTTCTTAGCTTAACATAAAAGTTGATAATAAAAAATAACTCTTTCAATAGTGAGAAATAAATCTTATTTTCTTAGCTTAACATAAAAGTTGATAATAAGAAATAACTCTTTTAATAGTGAGAAATAACTCTTTATTTTCTTAGCTTAACATAAATGTTGATAATATTAATAACCACACCTAAAGCTACATGAAGTTATTGATAATTCTCTATATGTTGTACAACTGATTTTTCCAAGACACAAAAAGGGTATTTGATGGAAAATTGGGAATGGTGAATGAGATGCAGATTTTTGAATATTTAAAAACTGCGGGGAAAAGTGTATTTTCCACCTTATCGTTTGGTTCACTCTATTAACTAAAGTCAGAAATTTATGTTTTCTTATAGCATCAGGGTTCTTATAATTGAATGATTAATTGCCAAGCTTATTGCTAATGAGAGTATATCTATATATCTATTCAGTAGTATTGAAGGTTACTGGTAATTTATTTTACAATTTATATAATAAATGCAAGTGGATATGGATTAAAATAAACTAACATCTTATACCGCTGATGTAGAATTAATGGATTAAATCAATCATTATTCCAACTGAAATTTAATGCATCTCCTAAATCTTAACAAAAATGCCGCTTTACTGATGTTTTTCTAAGATTAAAAAAGTAAAATCAATCTTACGAAATTTTTTATTAAAAAATATTTATTTCAGAGATCTTTCAAATGTCAAATAAAATAAATTTATCGTGGAGGGTATGCTCAAATGAATAGATGCTGACAGTTAAATACTAATGGCTGTTTCTAATTTTAAGAGAGGCCCATAAAAAAAGAAGACAAGACATTAACATTATCAGACAAGCTAAAAATAAAATTATGCAAACAAGGAAGTTAAGATGCTATAAATAGAATTTTGCTCAAGTCGGTATCAGAACGCAAGATATTCAGTATAGAGACTGGTTAAAACCGGATTTTGATACGGTATTGAAACTACTTGCAGTGAGATTTTATACAGTTATGTTATATTATTCAATATCATAGTGGATTTGGCGCAGTATGGTACATTACATAATGAGAATATGCAGAAACAGCTGCATATATTTACATAACGATTAAAATTTTCATTTTTATTTTTATAACTTCCTCGACACGAACCCCAAAAAAACACACACAAAAATAAAAAACCACACTGCTGTACTTCGTGTACACAGCACCTAGTGATCTGACAACATTATATCTTGTGATAAAGACCAGTAATTTGCCCATATATGGGTATATGACATCATCATGGCCATATATGGATGTGATATGACATAACCATACCCATATATGGGCATTTCACTTGAATACAAAACTTGTATTTTCATGTTGCACAATGGACCTTTCTGGAGTGTCAACCAATCTGACCAATCAGAACAGGGCCAGTAATTCGCGAAAGTCTAATAAGCACATGTGCGTGTCCCACAAACGCACATCCTTGCGTACATGTTTTAACACTGTCGTTTTGTGGGACCACCTTAGCAAACAATACACAGTGGACAAGGATTTAGCGGAAAGGTTTATTGCAATACAAAATGGTGCACCTAGATATTTTTTTTTACGTAATTCAAATTGGACCAAACAAGTTGATATGGCATGCTCTACAGTTTACATAGCATACTTTTGGGTATGTTCTAATGATCAGAGCTACTGACTGGGTGTATTCATTCTCAACAGGTATAGAAAGATGTCACTTATAAGGGTGGAATGAAATAGCTTCTAGGCCTTAAGTTGCAGAGACCTGTCACTTTAAGTGTGAAATTACGAGCTTCTAGGACTAAGTTGCAACCACTCTCGCTTTGAAGGGTGAATCGAAAGTTCTTAGGCCTAGGTTGCAGCTAACTTTCACATTAAGGGTTGATATCAAAAAACTTCTAGGCCTAAGTTGCAATGACATGTCACTTTGAAGTCTGGCACACACTGCGCTGATGGTCGTCGGCCGACAAGATTCTACAGAGAGCGCAATGAGATAAGACGCTCCAACAAATTATTCTTAATGACGATCCACTCAAACTGCCAGCAGATGTTGTACCGTCATTAATCTCTCACAGACAGACATGGATTCATCAGCAGACTGTCATACAGTGGAGTGTGTGTGCCCAGCATGAGGGTGGAATTAAAGAGCTCTTAGGCCTAGGTTGCACCAACCTGAGCCTTTAAAAGTGGCATCAAAAAGCTTCAAATTCTAAGCCTAAGTTACAAAAACTTGTCCATTTAAGGGTAGAATCAGAGAGCTTCTAGACCTAAGTTGCACCGACAATATAGCATCTTATCTATCACTTGCCAACGGTTTTCATCAGGATCGTACTCTTCAACTCGGTTTAAATATGATGACCCTGAATGACCTCCAACAGCGTATAATTTGTGTCCCATTACAGCTGCTCCTAGACCTGTAAACATAAAAATCACAATCAGAATGAATTTTATTAGTCATGAAATCATTACGAAGTCATGAAAATTGTCTTCCTTGTTACAAAGATATAAAGTATAAAAATATAAATTAATCTACAGAAAGATACAGAATTGCACAAAACGATATACTGTATACATGAAGTAAAATGGTTCATCTAATTTATTCAGATTAACTATTGGTATACATATATGACTGGCTCTGGCAAAACCCGCCATTTTCGCAATTTCTAATTTCGCGCAAACACCCAAAACGTTTCAAGACAACATTTTCAGATTTTTTGCATTTTATATTGAAAGACATATTGAAGGACACTTCTGCAAAATATCAAACACTGTTTTTTTTTTATTATATTAAAATTTCTTTTAAAATACATATCTTCATAATAAACTATTGATTTTCTCAAAACCTACATGGCTGATATCCAATGAATTATAAATGTTCATAACTTTGCTAATACTCAACCAATTTCCATCAAATAAACACGACTTTAAAGAAGAATTCATGCAAAATCTAAAAATACCACCAATTTTCCGACAAACGGCTGGTTTTGGCAGAGCTGGTAAATATATTAACTATAATATTATAATGATAAATTCATTGTATGTTGAGAAGCTAATTTTCCCACAAAAGTTTCATACACTATTGAATTTTAATAAATGGAGGTAAAGTGATATAGTTAGCTTGAGGGCAATACATAATTAGATAGGAGAGGTAAATATTTAATAAGTTAGACATTACTGTAGATTGATGAAGGTGAAAATATAATTAGACAGATGGAGGTATAGGTTTTTGATTGATTGAGATAAAATAAAATTATATACATGTGAGAAATTATATAAACAATCAAATAGATGAAGGTAATAATTTATAATTAACAAGAAGGATTATATATATTCAGAGAGATTATATGGTAAAGTATATAAATTGATGAATGAATAGAGAAAAATAAAAATAGATGCATAGAAGTACAGTAGTAATTTGATTAATGACTTTTTTGATTACCGATGCTTGTGTAAAGGTAAAGTATAAATAGAGAATGGTAATGACAATACTTTCAAAGAGAAAATAAGATAAAAAAAAGACAGATGGAAGTACAGTGCGTACTTTGATAAATGTCTTTCATGGTAACTATGTTGTGGATACATTCTTGATTCATAATTAATAGCTTCGGTATAGAGACACTAACCAACAATCTAAAAAAATATTCTAAAAATACCATGAAAAAAACCATACAATGTTATTCCCACGTGTGCTAGCCTGTGTTTTGAATACTCGTCAACACTTAATACAAAATAATATTCTTCTAAAAATATCACAAAAACCGTAGTATATTATTCCTACCTGTTCTAGCGAGATTCAGTGAAGCGACGACCGACCACTTATTTCTGTTACAGTCGTATCTTTCCACGCTGCTTAAGTGAGAAGTACCATTATGGCCGCCCACCACGTAAATGTAGTTATGTAAAACCGCGACACCAAAGTCGATTCGTTTGTCTGCCATTGGCGATACCATTTCCCAAGTTTCTGAATCAGGATCAAACCTTTCAACACTGCAAAAAACAAATTGTAAAGATGGTTTAAATTCAACCTTGTGTTACAATTGAAAATAACTTTGATTTCTACCTAGTGATTTGCTGTATATTCTTAGATGATTTGAGTTCCCCATGCCATATATTCATTTGTATTTATATGTAGTACAATTCTAGAACATTAAAAAAGGGCTACTCAAAATTATCATTTTATTAAGTATTAATATCATTTAAAGTATTATCGTTATTATATTATCATTATTTATTCTATTTTTTTATAATCTTCTAACAAGTGATAAATACAAATCATCAGACTTAGCAATACTGTAGCAAATAAGCAACCAATTTCATATCTGAATTAAATGAATGAATAAATATTAAATTGAGCATATATTTCTTTAAATGGCAGATCTAGAAATTTGAAATAGGAGGCCAGGGAGGGGTTTTCACAGAGAGAGGGTCTATACCATATCAGCCCCACCATGGTTGGTGTTGTGGCAAGACAATTTATGATTATGGCATTTCTAAATGGCTGGAAATGGCATAACTTTGAATGTAATTTTCTTTTTTTCTCTACTTTTTCAATAATTTTGACAAATTTAGGGGGCCCGGTCCGGCTGGGGGCGCCTTTAAATCCGCCACTGTCTCAATATAGTACTGTGTTTAAATTTAGAAGAGTAAACAACGCTGAGTGGGAAAGTTTGCCTTTGGCTGTTTTTAACCTTCGTGTTTGTTATTTTTACTTGTAGCCAATAACCAAAATGTCAACACATAAATATATCCATTTTTAATAGTTTATTTCTATTTTGCTATCTTATCTGCTTTTTCTGCAGTTTTAAATTGGAATTATAATTGTTGTTCCTCTACACGTTAGAATCGCATGCAAAGTTATCAACCACATTTAACATTCCGTCCATCTCAGACCTAATACTCGGTACTATTAATATATTCTCCCGTGGGAGATTGTTGCTATAGAAATGCATATTGACAGCTAAGGAATGACTATAAAGATATCAACAGTCTAAAATAAGAAACCTACTGTATCTAGAGTAATTTTAACACAACAGAATTGACAAACACTGACTAAGTATACAGTAGGTAGTATGAAATGGAATATATCAGTCCCCTTTGCTTACAGTTTCAATGACTGCTAAAATAACACCTTACAATGTTAATCAAACGATGGATCAATTTTCATTTTCTGATAGAAACAAAAGTTAATATACTTCAGGTTTAAAATTACCTTATTGTTTAAAAAAAATGTCAAAAATTAGCACAAAGTATATAATGTAAATAATAAAAAAACTTATTTAAGATATCACTTTTAAACATACCGTATTCATTTTCCATTCTCATTCAAATTATAAACGTAAGCATAGAAATTATTTAATTTAAACAATTTGTTCCCGGATTTTCATATTGGATAGGCCTAAGGATAATAAAACAAAACAAAAAAAATTATAGGTAAACATTTTTAAAATACACCAATATTTATGTTCAAACTGATAATTCTTATGTTACTTCAAAATTAGCAAGTTTTTTTTTTTGTTTTTTTTTGTTATTTGCTTAGGATAATACATCTGTAATATTACATGCTTGAGATTCTGCGAGTCCAATTTTTCCAGATATTATAGCAACTTCAATTTCAGAACTGCCAAGAGTCCTTAATTGGGAGAAGCCATCTTCCCGTTTCCTAATTGTATTTTAGTGGGCATAGTTTTTCCCCCGATCAGTGGAATTAAGGAATAAAAATAATACTAAAGTACTAAAACATGCAAAAATCATTTCGAAAAATGAGGCATGTTGTGGCAAAATGGTTAAGTTGTCGCACAGTCCAGTATTGAGTAAATGAGCTATAAAATATGGGAGCTCAAAAGATTGCCTAAAAATCCAAATTTGTTTTTCACTATAGATCAACAGTTTAATGTCTTATTAATCATGTCCCAAAGTATAATTCTGGAAGTGGTTAACAAATGGTTTGTTTAATGTTATTTTTCATAGTTCATTCTATTAAACAATGTATGCACAAATAACTTTGAAAGGCAATTACTCAAAATCATGTTTATCTTGACTCTTAGTACTGTGCTTTCACTTTCCAATAACTTAGGCTTGAAATGTCCAATTTAAATGAATGACTCCTCATTTTAAAGATCAAATACTCAGGTATCTGAAAATACCAATAATTTGATTTTCAATTTTTGCTACAACTTAGCCATTTTGCCACAACATGCCTCAAATGGGTTAGGTTGCAGGATATTTTTTGCATCCCTGTGAGAGTACAGGAGACCATGCAGATTTCTGAAAGTATTCCGCGACTCCTGAATGTGCAAATGTTTTCAAATAAAATAAGAACAGAGACAAAAAATTTCCATTCATGTATGAAGCCCTGTCCAAACTATCAGATTTTTCTTGAAGAAAGCATGTGACGACATGCCTAAATATGGTCATGACGACATCACATCATGACCATATATAGGCACAACAACAACAGTGGACAGAGATTTAAAAACTAACACCATACCTGTTAATATCCTGTCCACACCCTCCTATAACATACAGCATTCCATTAGCAACAACAGCTCTGAAAAAACTTCTACTTTTCAACATTGGGGGCGACAAACTCCACTGATTCGTCAATGGGCAGTAGCACTCAACGCTCCTCATATAAGTTTCTCCATCATAGCCACCTAGAGCATATATTTTTCCATGGAAGACCGCTGAGGCGTGATGACTACGACATCTTAACATGTTCGCTACAGGTGTCCAAGCATTTGTCTCAGGGTTCCATCGTTCCACACTGCTATCTAGTTCTCTGTGTACAGAACCTTTACAAGAACGTATCTTTGTTTTAGTTCCACCGATTACGTATAACTTGCGATCATGAACGGCAGTTGCGTAGTCAAGACGTCGAAAGCTTAGCGGTGCTACTTCAACCCACTCCTTTGTATTTATATGGTAGATCTCCACGCTGTCAAAATTTGAAAATTTATAAACAATAGTATATGAACTGCATTTGCAATGTATTGGAAAATCAAACAACATATTTTTCAAATACCCACCATCCGCCAAAAATGATTTTAAAAAATAAAAATAGGCCTACATTATTATTGGCTTATTAGTGAACCTGCTACTGCAAAAATAGAAATTACAGAAAATATTGTTTTTGTTGCCCACCGTTGTCATGAAATCATTTTGCTAAAAATATGAACACAAAATTTTATTTTCCGCCCACCTGATGATAATACAAAAATGAAGTAAATTTTAAATATATTTTCAGACCAAATAGCAATAAAAAAATATTCTTTGTACAAAGATTATTAAAATAATAATTTAAAGAGTATAATAATTTAAAGAGTAGTTGTACAATAATCAGAAGAGTTGCATTTTATTTATATTTATTCCTTCCAGCAAACAATTACAAACATATAAAAACCATAATATCATAGACAAAGAGGGAAGCTGAGGAGGAGCAAAAACCACTATCATCACTGGAAATGGGGTGCCCCTCCAACTCTAACTTTCAAAACATTTAACATCAGGTATAAAAATAGCTCTTAAAATATACACTTTATCTCAAATTTTATTGAATACAAGCCATCCACATCTTCAGGCAAAATAAATAAAACATTTCATAAATTATTCATAGATACAAAAAAAAAACAATCGTTCATGCTGAAACTTGTCAACCAACTTCCTAGATGATATGTTGATTGTTGTACATATTCACTTTTGTCTACAATACCAATCATCATTAATCTCACTAAACTATCTCACGCACATTCAACAATATTTAGGAAAACAACAGCAGCAAAAAGGAAAGATTAACATTTTGTTCTTGGAGTATGCCATAGGCACTGAATGGTAAACACATGTGCTATAGAAGTCTCTAGAATTATTATTATTATTATTATTATTATTTTTATTATTACTATTATTATTTTTGGTGTGAATCATACCAAAAACAACCCACTATTAGAAGACTTGTTTCCTGTGGGAACCTTATGGTGGTGAATTGGGCAGTAAACCGGGAGACAATCCTAACAATCTTTTCCGAAATATGTACTACGTTCTTTAACGTGCACATGGGCCATATTGCACACAAGATACATGGCTTAAAAGTCTCATCTGAAAGACGGCGAGCTATCGTAACTTGTATTTCAGACTTCTAGCTGAAATACAGGAGAGCAGCAATAGGAATTGAACCGGACACCAAGATATCTTGATGGTTTAGTGCACCCACAGTGGCTACCACCAGTTTAGCCGTCTCGGCTACTGTAAGGTGCTCTCTACGAAAGATAAAATATCTCCTTAAAAGTAAAATATGGAAATGTCATTTAAAATGGAAGATCCCTTTTAAACATACATTTACAGTTAACAAGATTATTGCTATATAGTTCAAAATTAAATTTTAAAAACAAATTATTATTCGTATTCCTGACATCTATGCCTTTAATCTCATTAGTTCTATTTATAGTAGCATAAACTTAATTACATATTTGCATGATACACCGATCGCATTGAAGAACACTCGAGCCTTGCATACAATCATATCAGCCGATATGCAATTAATCCAGACATGAAACAAATTGTTCACAATGCCAAGTCATTATTGGAAACACTGTGTTTTCATTGGTTAATGCTGTTCTATTTATAGCACTAATGCTTAAAATGATTGCAATATCAATAACTACATTGATGTGTAAGAAGACGAGGTCCTTGAAACTGCAGGTTGATGGCAAATATTGTATGAAGCATATCATATTACTTATATTCAAATTTAGGCAGTAGGCTATTTTTACACTAGTTTTATACCACAACCTAATGGTGATTACTGTATGTACAGTATGGATTGAATTAGGCCAGTATACTCTGCCTAAATTTTAAGAATTAGTGATACAGGTCCTATTACCCTATTACAGATCATTTATTACTAAGGAGCTTTCTGACAAAGTGACATCATAAATAAAATATATTTTTTTAATTATTCATTCATTCATTCTTCATATCACAGGCAGAGTACCCACTCAGGTAATTTATCTTTTAAAGTGGTACAGTTACCAACCGTAATGTTTTCATTACGGAAGTATCTGTATCTGTAAAACTATTTTTAAGATAAGAATGTATAATTTTAGAATATTTAATAATAATGTCATCTATGAAGTTATTTTTGGTTTTATTTGGTAATCACTTCCTCATCACAGGATATGAAAAAATTGCATGAGGAAAGCCTAACAAAAAACAAAACCTTATATAATATTATAATTTTACAGTACAATAATTTTGTTTTAGCTATGAAGTTATTTTTGGTTTAATTTGGTGAACGTTTAGGCTTGTTGACAAATATTCCGAAATGGTATTACAGTACAAATATGGATTTGTTGATACTGTACTGTATGTGTGAATTCCAAATGAACTTTCAGCCAGTTATCAAACCTTATGATCTTTACTAATTTAGTTGTTTTATGGTGTAATAAATCCCAGGGTCCTAGGTCCAAATCCTAAACATGCAAGGAGATTTCTTCTCAACTAAAATAGCTCTGTTACCCTACCTTCATGAGACATTATAGCATGGACCTATGATTACAGAACACTGCTAGTAGCATATATTATAATTCTATACTGTGACAATTTATTTGTTTTCATAATATAAAATGGAAAAAAAAAAACATTCTGATTTTCCCATCCCTCTTGCTAGCACAGATAAAATCATGGAGGTATAAAATAAATAGTATAATGTACTTATTGTATTGTGCAAGATAAACCATCTGTTTAGTGAGAATGCTACTTTAAGCTGGTTTTACTGTAGCATAATTGTATATTAAGCTTGAATCATGAAGTATACAGTATCTAGTGCAGCTTAATTGCATACACAGGCTGAGCATTAGTCAAGCTGACCGATCTGATTGGTTGATTCGTCGCTATTTTTAGCAACACCCTTTTCTAATAATAGCGCTGCAGATACGAATGCAAATTGCAAGTATTCTATTTGATATGAAATTGATTTATAGACTAGAATTATTTACCAAATATTGACACTTACGTGCAATGTACACATTCAGGATATAGTTAGCTGGCATTGGAAGGGAACAGCTAAGTTAGTGTATTTGAATGAGAGTGGAAAATTGATGAGATTTGAATGCCCACTAGTTCTGTATAGTAAATATGTACGGTAAAATACAGGTCTCCCTTCAATTAAATACCCTCCAATTAAAGACCGTCTCCAATTAAAGACCATCTATCTGCATCCCCAACTAAACACATATTTTATCTTCATAATAACTGTTCTAATTAAAGACCAAAACTGACCAAGACCATGAAAATTGAAGTCCCAAAAACGTTCTTTAATTGGAGGGAGACCTGTAATTCCAAATGAAATGTAGTATTACACTTTACAGTATAACTAGAAACTAGAAGTCTCTTAATGACTATGTACTCTATAAATTCATTAGAATGTTCTTTAAATTGGTTTTTGTGATGGAAATAAATGCTAATTTAGAATTTTTAAATTATAGGCAAATATTTCTGATATGATTTTCTAAACTACATTCTTTCTTGCTATATAAATCCAAATATTTTAATTGATGTTTATGCAAGAATTCTAGAATTCTTAGGAAAGGGCAACAATCTACTGTAAAACAGGAACACTGTCACGCAGTCTAGCTTTGCATAAAATTTACTAAGCTATTTTCACCAGATTCTTATTGTACATAACTGTTCAGCTTTTGAGTACTTAGCAGAAATTTATGATTCACAAATCTTAAAAATGCTTCTCCCTCTTTCAATAATCACAAAAATGTTAATCTGATAAGTTTAAAAAGAACTAACTATGAATGTTATAATTTGGATTATAATAAAATGGAAAAGCTAGCTTGACTGAAGTCTGGTAGGAAATAGGGAATTGATTGGTTGTTCATATAACATTGTGTTGTATTTTTCAAATTTTGTTTGAATTTTAGCTTATATTTTGAAATGTTTAATTATGTGTGTTTCTTTTTTCTTGGACACACCATTACATATGTGTGCCACTGTTGAATAAGTGTTGTTTCAAATAAAGAATATTAGAAACAATTTCAATTCAGTCATTGGTTTTTCTAGTTTTATATACTGGAATAAATAAATATGAAATAAATTAATTTCTATTTTAGCATTGAATTTAAGATATTTCCTATAGCAGCTCCTTGGTTACCAAAGTTACCATATAGTATTACATAATTCTGGATATGTTTGAATACTCAATAATACTTAAGTATTCAACAATGTAAGGCTTACAATATAAGCAGTGTTCAAGCAGCCACAATAGAAGGAAACTGCATAAATTTTTATTAATATGTTGCTCTACAAACAATATCTAAAAATAGCTAGCCAATGAGACAGCTGTTCCTTTTTTAGTAACTATGCCTTGGATTCATAATATTCCAAGGGTAGTTTAGTCCCTGGGAAAACTGATCTTTAACAAATACTGTACAAAATGTGGCGTGATACAGGTATATTAACATTTTTGTTTTAACTGCTAAAGTAATAAAATAACCACAGACATAAATACAGTGGAACTAAATGCAAGGTCATGTATATTTGAAGTCTTCATAGCAAGTCCTTTTTAAAAATCATTAAAGTAAAAGCCATTATCAATTGTTAACGCTCTCCCATTTACTATGAACAAAGACCAAGTCTTTCAAGATTTAATGTTTGTCCAGAACCAAGTACTCAACGTACCAATTATGTGTCACTATTTATAGAAATGAGATTTAAATAGAATTTACTTTCATCGTTGATGAGTTCAAGATTGATCAGTACCATTATATTTATTGACTGTTTATCTAACAACAAGTGCATACAATGCCGTCTACAGGTAAACAATACGGTATGTGGTTATTTATAGCAATGAGATTTAAAGAGAATTATTTTCATTGACAAGCAGCTCATGATTCAATGAGCACCATTATATTTAGCCATACTGTGAATACATCATTTGTTCAATGTAGAAAACCACACAAAAAAACAGAGTTAAAACCACATCTTATTTCAATGAAAATAGGGATATATTGAAGGTTAACTGAGCACTTATAATGCTGGCAACTAAGGTTAGCTTTAACTGTTCAAAGCCAATATGTATACTGTATGATAAATCATAGGTTAGGGTAAAAAAAAAACAAGCTTTTTATGACAAAGAAATTCTAAATAGCTTTAGTTTAAAAAACAAAATTTTTTAATAAGATATAGAAAATATAATTATTGAATTGTTGAATACAAAAATGTGAGCTGTCGTAATAAAATAGGTCTGGTGGTACGAAAAATGAAAAATGAGTTGTTGGTATATTTAGATACAAGAATAAGCTCTATTTTGGTCTTTAAATCATGTTAAAGTTCAGATGTCTAAAAGCATACTTAAGAGAAAATCACTTCTAAAGATAAACAACTGACAAATTTTGTGTTGGTTTTCCTATCAATTTTGAAACATAGCTTTACAAAAGGTGACTCAAGAACATGATAACCTTAGGTAACTCAACTCGGAACTTTTGCTACTATGAAATATACATATTAAACTTATCAGAAAAATTGAAACCCAATTTTTGTCAAAATATCACTTTTTTTCTTGAATATATCCAATTGACCTGGTGGACCGACCACAAGACTCATTTTGTCACGACAGCTCACATATGGCTTTACTTTAACAATACACAAAATTTGCTTTTTAAAATAGAAAATATTATTGAATTCTTTAATACAAAAATAACCAACACAAAGTTGATAAAAAATAATATCAATATTATTATTTATAAGTGATTGTTTAACCAGCTTCTATCTGTAAAGTTAATCTAAATTTAATTATAATCGTATATGCAAACTAAGCAATTACCTTGTGTCAGATATCAGCTGTTTTGTTTATTAACTCCAAATTTCCAAGTAACAGCGAAATATGACAGTGCCATATGTATGGTTATAAATTTGTGTACAATCCCGATCAATAATAATCACTTTAGTACAGTTATCATAAATAATAATCCTTATTTTGCACAGAACATTAATAATTAGTAAACTAATTTCACATTATGGTATTTCATAAGATAAATTTACTATTGTTTAGGGCACTCGCCAATTACAAAATTAAGCAAGTGTCTTTAAGAGGCTTGGGAGGGGAGTAGTTTTTTGTTGTGAGAAAAAATCCTGGCATCCGAAACAACAAAGATTTGAACCCAGAAGCTACAGCTCAATTCTATTTCGCTTTCCCTTCGGCGTTGATTCATCGGCGCTTCATTTCTGATCTCGGATACCACCTCTAGTTTGACAAAAAATCATTTAAAATAAGCACCTCTTTATTGCTATTCCTGAATGCAACATTTTATTTTTATCTCTAAACCCTTGTAAAATTTTCAATTCTATTCACAGTATCTTGATAAAACCAAAAATATGTGGGCACTACAATCTAGGGCCTAGGTTCTAAGCAGATTCTTGTTTGCTGAGGCGAGATTTTCTTTCTTCCTTGTTTCACATACTTATTTTTTTTTTAAAGATTATCGGAGGAGGGCGGAATAAAAATAAAAATAAAATTTTATTTTCTTATGCAGCAAATATTTTTGCCAAAATCATCCAAAATAAAAATAAAATTTTATTGGTGAATGTAAAATAGGATGGTTAAATGCTTAAAATTTATTTTAGGAAGAATTATACATACCTGTACCTTATCTTTGGAGATTTCAAGGCAGTGGAGGTCTTAATAAAAATTTAAAAAAAACTATTTTCCTAAATTTCCAATATTTATATTATTCCGGTGGGTGCGCTAAATGGCCAAAAATAAAATTTTATTTTTAATCGAAATCATCAATATTTGCAGTCGGCGGGTTTGCTAAACAAGGTTAATGATGATTAATGTGATTTTCTTTGTGTTATGACAATCACAGATTGTATTTTTCCAAAAATGATTGAGGTGACGTGACCATTATGTCAAAACATTGAGCAAAATGATTAAGGTGAGTGGTGAGTTGACCCTTTATGTCAAAATATGGAGCAAGGTCAATGTAAGCTTAATAAATACTTTGCCTGGATAGCAAAGAATGAGTCAGCTTACCATCCACAAAAGAATGACTTAAAGTTGAAGTTAAAATTTTACGTTGCTCATGTTCGTTTATTATTATTATTTTGTTTTATATTTTGTTAATAGTTTGTTTATTTAATTATTATTTATTATTATAACAATACAAACATAATTTATTTAGAAATTATTTTTTTACTTTCTCAGAACCGATGACATCACATGGCATTTTTTCATCATTCATTATTGCAAAAAACTGCATTGGAAATTCACTGCACGCTCAGTTGCGGCACTAGGATATAATTTATGGGGTGGGGGGGGGGGGGGGACTAAGATGTCCGACTGGGGTTGGGGCTAAGTATTATGGGTATAACTATAGCATGCAGCGTTATCTGACTTCTAGATGGCCAGAAATAGCTGGGATGGGAAAACTAGGCCTTTTTTTTTTGGTCCGACTGCCCGATGAGCTTTGGCAGATGGGGGGGCTTGACCAGACAGACCAGGGGGGGGCTCAAGCCCCCCCTGCCCCTGGCGCCGTCACTGTGCAGGCTGCGTGCCATGTGATTTTTTCTTCATCCATGAAAAAAATGAGAATTAAAATGACACTGCCAAAGAAATACACCTAATTATAGTCAAATTTCATTAAATCTTGGAAACTGATTGAAACTTGATGAATAATGTGATTAATTTATTGAGCAATTCCAAATTTTTTTATTTTTCACTGTTATCTGAATTCTTTAAGTAGCAATTTAAAACCAATTAAATATTGAAACAACTGTGAATTGAGAACTGTTATATATATATTCTTGTTACCCTTACCTTTCCAATGTTGCAGAAAATCCATTTTTCCCACCAACAGCACACAACATTTTTGCTGGTCTGCGACAAGTAACTTGCATCTTCTTCTCGCCCATCAATTTGGATCGGTCTTCAGAGATGTGATATTGCAGGGCACGATTCACCGCCTCTTTTGCAGATACACTTTCACAGATAAATTCATTGTTCTCATACATATTTGTTAAGTATTTAAAAGACATCAAGGGTAGGCGAATGTGTGAAATTAATTTGGGAACATAAGCTCGTCTACGATTTGGATCATATTGTAGCCACCTTTCTAACATTTCAAATGTGTTTTCTTCAGAGTCTACATTTAGATTTTCACTACTCAGAATGTTGGCTAATTCATTGGGTTCCATTTGGTTGAATTCTTCACTATTGCAAAGATCTTTAAAGTGCTCATGGATAAAATCGCATGCATACTCATAGAGTTCTTTGCAGTCATGGGTGTCTGCAAATTTAGCAATGCCTATGCAGTTTATGATATGTATTTGGTGCTTCAGAAATTCACAGCACTTATTGGTAACTGCCTTAATTTGCAGCAAGTTTGCAGCCGGTAATAGGTTCTGGACATTTGCTTCAGTAACAGAAATATTTCCTGAGTAAAGGAATTCAACTAGAGTTCTAAGAATGCCATCGTCTATCCCTTTCAGTTCTATTTCTTCTTTCTCTCGTTCACATAGGCTACCAGTCAACATTGCTTTGAAGTAAGGGCTGCCGCTAGCTAGGACGATACGATGGGCACGAACCTTCCGACCCGAAACCTTCAGCGTTATATCGAGCAGCTCTCCTGCTTGCCGTAGCTCAGCCATACTTTTAAGAAGAGACTTCGAAAATTCCGCGACTTCATCCATGGTGATGTTGTTTCAGCTATCTCTTCGTTTAAATGTGATTAATATTAGCATAGGAAGTAGACTTACCAACAACAACAGTGGAAATGGATTTAAACTACTATCAATTCTACATGCAGCATCCGTCTTGTATAAACATTTTGACCAAATGCCTCAACTCGGGAGGTGTGCAGGTACTGTATGTTGTTGTTGTATATCAGCATCAGTCTCCACTCACAGACGTTCAACTTGCATTCAATTGCATAGGGCCTAGAGGGCGTTTGCTAAAAACCTCAACCAAAATTACTCAAGAAATTTATCGCTGCTTTGATCATCTTTGATCAAATAATTATGCCTACAGTATTTGTAAATTTTACAACCACTGGAACAGATTGAATAGAAAAATCAAAGTACTATACCATTAGATTTCACAATTAGCAAAACAACGAATGAGATTATAAAGAAGATTTAAACAGGTGATAGAAAGATTTAGTTTTATTACATCACTTTTGAAAAAGTACTGATAGTGTTTATATAATAAATACAACAATACAGTATAATGCGCTATACAGTATACAGCAAGCCTATCGGAACAAGTAATTGTGACAACACCGGCCAAAGTGCTTGCAACGTTTAAAAGTAATGATATAAAATCGGCATGTTTAAATACTTAACGGATCTAAACAATTTATATGAACGCAACAAAGTAAATTAATCATTGGACAGTGTGTATGTACATTTGGGTTTTTTTTTTTTTTTTTTTTTTTCTTAGAGTTGATCAATTACAAAATTCATAACAGGAAAAGATGATTCGTCGAGATGACGTAATTTAGTGATTATCGTGTTAGTACGAGTGGTCTTCAATTCACTGTTTTAATTGAGCAGCGGCACTACTGATAATTAATGAAAATGAGATATTGTAAAGTCACATAATACTTATCCTTAAAATCGATAATGTTAACCTTTCAAATTAGAAATAGTATTTTTGTCTCTGTTTACGTCATCAGTAAACTGCTGCTAATTTTAATACTCAATAGAATAACTGCTGTCATCGAATTGATCATGATGGTAGACAAAGTACAGTAGCCTATATTTCTAGCTATATTGGCGTTAAATTAAAATCGATTTTAAACGGATGCAAAATATCCTTTCTTCTAATTGACGCATGTCTTTTTATCAATTTATACTTTAATTATTGTTTCATTTGCAAGAAAAGAAGAGGCATTAATTCACTCTCAGTTTTTTTGTAACTTTAGTGGGACTGCACGAGAACGCCAGTACAGATTTTTGACATACATATGTAGCGAATCACAATAAATTAACGGTTCAGAATTTTATATTTTCACAACGCATATACAAATAGAATAACATTTTAATGAGACATCTGAACCACTTTTATTATGAGTCTGTTTTGATATTGGCCTGATAGGCATATTCGCACATAGGCCTATAGGTTTTATCTCCTATAATTCTTATATAATATTCTATTATAACAAATGTATTAATATTATTATTATTATTAGGTCTAATAAGAATTATTATTATTATTTAATCTTTTGTATTGTCATCATTCACATTTCCTTGCTCAAACTACATTATCCGTTACTCACTCTCTCAAACTCCTCACCCCCTATTTTCCTTGCGCATGTAAGCCTCGATCTATCCGCATGTTCCACCTCCCATTATCTCAAATCCCCTTGATCTTGTATATACCAGATGCTTTTTATCCAACTTTATTCCATAGAGGTTGCTATTTATAGTGACCACGTCATGAACAGGATCAGCTTTACCTAAAATACCCCCTTCTCCAAGAGCCATCATTAAAATTAAACAGCGATGCAAGTTAAACTTGGATCTGGTAGAGTGTGGTATGCCGCTCGATTCTGCATGCATTCCCTTGTTCTGGTTTTGCTGTTAGGCGAAAGAAAAATATGATAATTATTATTAAATTAAGCATACGAACTTCGTTTTTAATTAATTAGATTTTTCCCTATTTTTGTAATACTATAATTGTTAGTTTTATGATAAGTAGTTTTTAATTATAACCTATTGTCATTAATGGTATTATTATTATTATTATTATTATTATTATTATTATTATTATTATTATTATTATTATTATTATTATTATTATTATTATTATTGAATAGGCCTATGTGATGAAAAATTGCTGGATTTAAAAATTAAAGAACGGCTTGGTAATATAAAACTAACCTTTAGTTTATTACTGTCTGAATTAAACTGAATCAGACCTTTTGTAGAAACTTTAGAGGCCGTTGAAGTAGATTCATTATCACCAACGTTTTTATTCTTGAGGCCGGTGTTTTTGGTTACAAATCTTGTGCCATAAAAACTGCTAGGCTTAGGCCTAGTTGCATTGGCAAATTTGGATGATGCAATGGCATTGCTTAAATTCTCTACAGTAGTGCCACTGACTGTCGTGCTCCCCTTTCTGTCTTGGGATTCAACATACGTGTCAGGTTTTTTAGGATGATCAGGCTCTTCTGGCTTTGGTAAGATCTTTTGTAAAACTCCAGAGCTTCGAAATGGTTTATTTTTTTTAGAGATATCTGATGTTGATTCATATTGATCACGTTCGCTGTTCTCGTGTTCGTTTGGTTTTCTTCTCTTGATTTTGTGCAGTTCAGTTTGTTCTTGGACCAGTTTCTTCATGCGAGATCTCTTATTTTGAAACCATATGTTTACGAAACGCGTTGACATACCAATGACTCTTGCTAATTCTTCTTTCTTTTCCCTGGTAGGCCATGTCTCTAAGGAATACAATGACTCTAATTTGTTTAGCTGGTCTGGGGCAATGACGGTACGTTTGCGCCGTTTTCTACTTCTTCTTGGCCACTCGAATCTGTCGCTTACCTCTTCTTTGACATTGTCAAGCTCTTTTGTGTGATCTCTTTCAACGTCTGAAGTCACCACGTCCGACATCTTTACAACAGAACTATCGGTTGATTTATGTGCGCTGGTAGCGTTCTTTTAGTTTTTGGAACGCTATGCGTGTCGCGATCGCACATGCGTCGCGCGCGACAATTAACTGATAATCGCTCAGCAGTTTAACTGATTGGTTGAAAGTCAAATCATTAATAAACAATTTGGTGACGTCAAGTAATACCAAATATGGATGAAGTCATTTGGTCATAAGAGCAACTTTTGTACGTACATGGGCAACACCCACACGTAAACCAAGCTAGTAGTTTAAGTAGAGTTGCTCTTTTTATGAAAGTTAAAAGTTATAAGTTATTTTTTTAAAGGCCTATAATGCCAACATAACTGTTCCTTTACGTTATATATATATATATATA